GAGGAAATGCAACCCTTTTTTTTTTTCTTTTTAATGAAATCCTCTAGATAAAAAAAAAAGAATTATATTACAAAGCAATTATAAAAGTAGTTATTGTTATTATTATTTTAGAGATAATTTAGGTAAAGTAGTATTAATTCTAAATCTTGTATGAACTGTACCTGCCAGAAATCATGAGGAAGGTGAAAGACTCAACTCAGAGTTCACCTAACTCAAAGCATATGGAAACCACATAAGGTTCACTACCAATATTCCCTATTACGTTTCCAGGGTTCTGTAACAATGGAAAATTGGTAAAATCTATACTATATCATTGTCCAGTGAAAATTACCAACTTGTAGCTTGAGAAAGCTTTCATATGTATTTAGTCACGATGCAAGTGGAAATCACCGTTTTAATGAGAATGAAAAGTATTGTATGTCATGAAAAAAACTTGTAGTTATTAATTCAAGTAGCACACTCTTCCCATGAGCGTTTAGCTAAACTAAAGCTGTAATACTTTTACAGTGCTTTAATTAACAAGCAACAGAACATTTAGGCTTTCACACGTAACCTGGATGGTATTATTTGGAAACAAAGTAGGATGTCATTCTCCGGAAAAATGAATGTGGAAAAAAATCAATAATATGATGTCTCAAAAGAAGCTTGTTACCGAAGTACTTTGTCTCTTGTAAAGCTGGTATTTCTAGGCTGTCATACGGACTTAAAAAATGGTACTGTTCCAAGAAATTTCGAAATGACAAAGGTATCGTCCATTTTTTTTTAAGCCACGTATAACACTATTCTATACGTATTATATAATGGAAAAACATTAATTATTTAACTAATTGCTTGGCCCGGCATTGCCAGGTGGTTAGGGAGCCCGACTCGCAATCTGCGGGTTGCGGGTTCGAATCCGCGTCCCACCAAACATGCTCGCCCTTTCAGCCGTGGGGGCGTTATAACGTGACGGTCAATCCCACTATTCGTTGCTAAAAAGAATAGCCCAAGAGTTGGCAGTGGGTGGTGATGACTAGCTGCTTTCCCTCTAGTCTTACACTGCTAAATTAGGGACGGCTAGCGCAAATAGCCCTCGTGTAGCTTTGCGCGAAATTACGAACAAACAATTAACTAATTGCTCTACAGCTACACAAATATATACAATTTTGCACATCTTAATAAAGTGTTATGTACGAATTCAAATAAACACAAGAAAACCTGTGACCAAATACAATTTTGTTATCATTCATAGTTAGAAACTTTCGGAACTTATTAAACGTAAAAGCTTACTGTACAAGGTATGTGAAGTATGTTCAAAACTAAACAAGTCTCTTAGAGTAGTTATAAACGTGACGCAGCAGTATTCACAAAGCTATCATAAATTATGCATTAATGCACGTTTGTTTTATTTTTATGATTAGTGGTTTGTTGAAATGTAATCCTTTCCGAAACTAAATCCTACAAGTTACATAATTTTCTATCATGATTTGTAACCAACAAACTATAAAATCATAGCATAAATTTCACAAATCATTGTCTAGGCTCATAAAAGTAGTGAAATAAATATTAAAAGCTCCAAACCATATTTTGATAATTATTTAACTTCTAAAATACTGGGTTTTAATAATACGCTTTATTTCTATTATTCTTATGCTTTGAAATAATTGTTATTCAAAATATTCTTAACATTACAATTATCTAATTCATAGAAAATGAACGAAGGCTCCCATTTACAACTGAAATGAAATACATTGATAAACTAGCAACGTTTATTATATATTATATGATTATAGTAAGTGCTAAAAATTCCCAAATTAAACCCCCTGGTCCTTATATAACACAGTTTTAAAACTGATTTCACGTGAGATGTTAATATTAGAAAATACTGATGTTGTTTCTGAACGTCACTCTGTAATAAAGTTATACATTTAAATGAAATGGGGGAACTCGTGTATACCAGAATGATATATATATAACACTTTCAACTCTAGTCCTTCTAAACTTATGTTCCTTTAGCTGTAGGGGCGCGGGTTGGGCCTGTGGTAGAACTCTGGATTTCGGAGCTGGAGAACCGGGTTAGAAACCATGCGATAATACAAAATATTCCACTCACTCTGCGGGTGCGTTGAAAGAGTGACATATAGTCAATCCCTTAGCGTGGATGGTAGGATGTTATTTTCTGAACGCCTTTCTTCTTTTGAGTAGTTTAAAATTAGGGACGGCGGCAGTTAGTCTTAGTATCCTTGCCATTAATACAAGTACAAAATACCGTTTACTATATCCCACAGTGGGTCAAGGGTATATTTAGGGAACTTACAATGCTAAAATACAGAGTTCTATTCCTCACGGTGAACAGAGCGCAGATAGTCCATTGCGTAGCTTTGCGCTAAAAGCAGCAACGGCCCTTTGCTGTAACAGAATGTTGCAGCCAAAGTTCAGAATGGGAATTATAAAATTTATGTTCAAATGGGAAAATGTAGCTGTCCCTGTCTTCTTATAAGTTTGTAATCGATTTTCCCAGTTTGTGAATATTAACACAAATAACGTATGCTACGTAAGATACTAATATTTAGTACTGAAATATCATTAAATACCATCAGAAATTATGTTAATCGTTGGAATAAGCTCTTCCATTTTTACCTATAAAAACAGTTTACTGATGACCTCTGGAAATTGTATCACAACGAGCACATTAGGAGTCACCACTGTGTATATACGTATATAAATCTAAATATTTATTTCAGAAGATAGATCGAGAAATAATTGACGGTTGAAGCTGTTTTTTTTTGTTTTTTTTCATATGAACAAAATAAGTTTTAATAAAATTCATAGATAGAGCTTTTGATTGGATTATTTATGTTTATTTTTTTAACTTTATGACAATGTTTTGACCAGTCGTGTGGTCATCACCATGTAACTGTCGTCTGTTGTATAAAATATTGAGCGAGAATTTTGTTCCAATTTAGAAAACATCTTATGATGACCACGCGAGTGGTCGAAATGTTGTAATAAAGTTAAAAATAAATAATCCACTTAAAGCTGTATCTTTGGGCTTTTATTTAAAGTATACAGTGGATTTCTTCTCCTCACAACAAAAACCAGTTTTTGTTAAGATTAATTTTTACTGAGAAATCTGATTAATGTAGAGTAATTTCACTTTAATGTTTCCTGATATTGCGTAGTTTATGGTGTCATATACGCTGTATATATAATTTCCACGAACAACATGTATTCTGGGTTATTTCATATAATTGTTGTTAATCAACGAAACAAGAGTGTCATTATTTTATTGTTATCGAGCACACACTTGTTAGACACCCGTATGGGGCCAGTAAAGAATGATGTGAGTTGAATTCTTACCTGTCTTATTGATATGTCATGTGTGCATAAATGTATTACGACTAACTGTCATGCTCAGCCAGCTTATGCGTCCTAAAATCTAATTAGTTTGCATTGCGATTATGATTTTTATCTGTTTAAGGTTTTTTTAAAATGTTCTATTTTATAATTTGTACAATTTTGTTTCATTAAATAAACCATGAAATCATTAACAAACTGATGGGTAAGTCATGAAATTTAATTTAATCATTTTAGACACGTTGCATGTTAGTCGAAAGGTAGAGCATGCATACATACAGAAAATTGTATTTTGATACATTGTTTAAGTTAATAA